TGGGCAGGGCGGCGCAGTCTAGGTAGGAGAGGGGTTTGCCTAGAAGGCAGGCGACGACGATGACGGCGATGAGGAGGAAGGTGTCTGCGCCGGCGGCGAGGAGGAGGGGAAGCATGTTGTCGTAGTAGAGGATGTAGGTGATTGAGATGTAGAGGGTTGCGATGCAAGACTGGTGGGGGTTGTTAGCCATCGTTCTTCCAATCTACGAATTCATGACCATTCTCCGGGAAGGATCCGTGCAACGAGTGCAGAACTCACAATAACGAGCGTGCCGATCAAGACCGAGGGCGGAACGGCATCAGCGCCGTTAATCTCCGAAATAAAGTTGGAAACCATGCCAATAATCGAAACCAAGGAGACGAACTGCATGGCGCGCATGGCGGTGAAGGTGTGCCCGAGGGCGCCGAGGCGAGGAGCGGAACCCATGTTCCTGTCGTGCTTCCGGGCGGCGAAGTCGCGGGCCAGGGAGACGGGCGTGACGAGGGTGAGCTTCGGGCGCGGGGCGTGGAAGTGGAGCGCCGTGCGGACGGGGAATTTCCGGGGCGGGAAGGGGATGCTGGCGGTGGGCGACGGGAGGGAGGTTGAGGAAGGAATTTTGGACGAGGTGTCGTAAGTCGCCTGGTGTAGCGACTTTGATGGCTTTTGAAAGGACGAAGAGTAAAGCGTGGATAGAATGAGACTCTGTGGAAAAGAGAGTTGAATGTTTCAAGGTAATCTCGATAAATCGATAGAGAAAGTAAATTTCGTTCAAAATCGTCTGTTGTCGTTTCGTTTCCGTTTGTCGTGACCTAGAAAGGAAATTCGGAAGATGCGAAATGAAAAATCGAGTGTTGACCGAGATAGATAGATGAGAGATAGAGAGAGATATGAGACCTAAACTTGACCAAGGAAATTGACCTAGGAAATAAGGAAAAGAGAGAGGAAAAAGGAAAAGACGGAAGATTGTTGTAAAGACTTGTTGTGTGATGTTGATGAGGAACAGAAAGAAACTCGAGACTGGAAACTGGATGAGATCAATCGTCTTTATACATCATGCAATCACCAAAAAGTAACATCTTCAACCAGCCTAGTAACCAGCCCTGTGGTTCATCTGGCCTGCAAATGGTACCTGAGGTTACTCTGCATTGTTATTGTTGTGTTGCTAATTCGAGCTCTCGCGGTCTGGACCTATACCGCTAGACATCGACTCCCAAGCCCATGAACATCAAGATATGGCTAGGTACCTCGCGGTTCCTGCATGAGATACGTCAGTTGCCGTACCTCTGTGCAAAGCAGTGAGTGAGTGGTTCGCCCTAGACCCTTGGAGGCTCCCGCACCCTGGACGGCACGACGTTCGGCTAGGTATGATGAGCCGCTGGGCTGGGCCAATCACCGTCAACGGCCGGGGTTGCGGTGCGGCGCTTAACGGCGGTGGAGTTCCGGAGAGGTTGGACAAGCGACGCGGGTACGAAATTTACGACGGGGCCACACGGCTCCGGGAAATTGGAGGCTCTTGGACATGCAGCGCCAGACTCTTTTTCTTTTCGAGTATCTCTCATCAAAACTGTGGAGAAGAAAATAGGCGCGTCCAATGGCTGGTTGTCATTGAGCCAGGCCGTGGATGATCGTATTGGATGGCTGCGCGCCTGTTTTGAAGTCGAGCTAGATGGACATGATTGGTTCTGCTTGATCCCGGGGAACTCACCTAGCTTCCACCTTGGCCTCGACCTGGTGGACCTCCATGCCTTTTCTGCATCTTGAACTGATAATCGAACAGACCACTAGACGCGGCCACGCTGGGGCGACGATGGCGGAGGCTGAGGCGCCTGTTCATACGAGCTAGCCCAGGTCCCAAATACATGCAGGTACCGGACCTGAAACCAGGTCTGGCGGTTGCTGGCCAAGGCCGCATATCTTGGCTCCATGCTGCTTTATTGTTGAGGTCCGTACAGGTCTTGTTCCTGGGCCTCTGTTGGTTTGACGCGTTCTGTATGCGCGAGGATCTCTATACTGATCCTTGATCCTCTTGCACCTCTTGAGCCTCCCACCGCCGCGGGACGACGATGGTTGGCCCGCGGGCGGTCGGTCCGCTATTGATCGACTTGGCGTCAGTTGGGTCCCTGTAATTGAGATTTCGCCATAGAGTGCTCGACACGATCTAGACCCCGTTCAATCGTCCCTTCACAGGTTCACAGTACAGACGGCTTGCTTCGGATTGTGGGCGCATGAGTAGGTCGCGCTATCGGCCGCAGAGGGCTGTGAGTCCTGCAAATATCATGCCCCGACGATCAGGACATGCGTAGGCACCAAGGTCGCCTCATCAACACGCCCAGATGCACAAAGACAGCGGTCAAGCCTGTGAGAATGATGTCACATTGCACGAGGTGAAAAGATCCCTGAGGACACAAGTATTGAATGTGGTTCGCTTGAAATTTCAGTATATGGTTCATGTGTTGCAGTCTTCTTTTGCCTGCCGATACGCCTAGGTAAAAAAGCCTATCAGCACACGTCTTTTCGCCTTACCATCACCGCGGCGGCCTCTGTCTTGTGTTATTGCGTGGCCAGTGATGCTGTAAGGCTGGGTAGGCTCCGTCTTTTCCACGCCAGTTCTTCGTCTCCGCGTCTTTGTATCATTATAGTAAGCTTAACCAAGCAAGTCGTCCAGGCCATGGTTTCCGCCGGAGGAGGAGGCGTTTCCAGCAGGCTTCGGTGTCGACGCCGCAGCAGGGGCACCCCAAATTCCTGCACTGCTCTTCTCCTTTGCAAGCTGGCCCAAGGCCGGGCCGGCAGTGGGTGTGCTCGTCTTCTTCACGCCGGAGCTAGCCTGTGACCACAGGGCACCAAAAGCATCACCACCAGCAGCGGCCGGCTTAGCAGCAGCTGAAGCCGGCTTTGCCGCCGCTGAAGCACCAGGAGTAGATGCAAAAGAGCCACCAGTAGCCTGCGGGACCGCAGTCTGAACTGAGCCAAAGTAGTTGGGCCCTGAAGGCTGATATCCAGTAGGCTTGATTTGTGCGGCAGGAGAAGCAACAGCGGGGGTGCTGAAAGCTGAGTAGTTGGCGCTCGGAGCGGGTGACATGGAAGACATGCTGACCATGTTGCCGATGTTGGCCTGTTGAGGCGCAGAGACGGGCTGGGGAGCGGCGAAGGTCGTGGCAGAGTTGGCTGTCATGACGGGAGGGGACATGGGGGTTGCTGCTGCGGGAGCCGAGGGCGCGGACTGGAAGTCGTCAAAGTCATCGTCGTCGTTGGCAGCCGCAGGAGCAGCAGACAGGGAGGCAAAGCCGGAGCCGTTGGACGGAGCCGGGGCAACAGGGGCTGGCATGGAAGACGGCGCAGGGTCGTCAAAGGAGAAGAGATCGACTTCGGGCTCCTTCTTCTTGGGTGGCTCCGCCTTGGGAGCGGGAGCGGCAGCTCGCTCTGGTCTCTTGGATCGAGAAGACGAGGAGCTGGCAGCTGGGCGAGTGTCATCAAACTCATCGTACTCCTCAAACTTGTCACCGTGTGACTGTGTTTTGCCGTAATCGTTGCTCTCTTCTCCGCCGAACCCACCGCCGTCGCCGTAGACGCCTCCGGAGTAGCCACCGTAGCCTCCGGTCTCGCTTCCGAAGCCTCCATAGCGGCTGCCACTCCCGCTGGAGAATCCACCGCCCATGCTCATTCCACCCTCAACGCCGGTGTACTTGTTCTTGGTGGCCCGCGCCTTCTTGCGCTCGGTCCGGATGCGCTCGACATCGCCGAGAAGTTCGGCCAATTCCTTGGCACGGTTGCGAACGTTGATTCCTTGGTCCTTTCCGTTCTGATCGATATAGTGGAACTGGCGAAGCATCTTGAGTAGTGTAATGTGGCCGCGGGCATCGTCGATGACTCGTTCGGAGCCGTGCTTGATCAGGAACTCGAGAAGCTGAAGAGCCTTGTAGATTTGCCGCCACTCTTCGGCGGACTTTTCTGTGAACCGACGGTAAATCATGGGCATGATCTCGTTAAGAGTAGCACTGGTAGAACGTCAGTATCGTTGGCTTGTAGCTTTCGGTCCGAGGAGGATTACTAGTTGAAGGTGCCGTTGGCAATCTCTTGCATCAGTGATGAGGACGCGCCCCAAGGTTCGTTGTTTGTTGCCTCTCGGACCTAGAACCTGTTAGACGGACTGGAGTCTACATCAAACGAATAATTAGATGGACGAACCTTGGACTCCATTTCCGTGTAATTCATCACGGCTATGCGCAATTAGCATGCGATCGACATTGGGTTGGACTGGACGGTTCGTGATTACCATTCTGGACCTTTCTGACGCCAGCCTTGACGTCGTACAGGGTCATGTTGGAGACCGTGTCTTTCAGATTGTTCCAATCCATTTTGGCGGTTTTAACGGGGTGAAGATGGGGAGGGATTCGATGAACGGCAAGCAAGAAGCCCAAAGGCACAGGTGAAGGTGGTAAACTCGAAGACGCGATGCTCCTTGTGATTCTTTGTCGACGTTTCAAACAGAAGCGCAATCCAGCGACCTGGCCACCCTGGAACTTTCAGGCCCAGGCTCAGTCAGGTCAATCGGTCTCGGGCAGTGCGGCGGCAGGGGGTACGTACCGCACGGATGAGATAAGATTGGCTCAGTCTGAGGGAAAGGAGATGTGGGGAGGGAAGGTGTCGAGTCACGTGGTGTACCTCTGGCAACTCTCTGGAATTTGGAAAGCGTCAGCGGGCAGCGGGAAGGAGGAAAGAGCTTCCCTGGTCGGTACGTACTGATTGTGATGTACCTCTGCGCCTCGATCAGCTCACAGCTTGACTCGGAACAGCTACTGTTTCTCCATGGGATATTCTCAGAAACCACCAATTGAGTGAAGCTGTACAAGTTTCAGCTAATTGTATTCCTCAAGTGTAACTGATCTGGGTATCTTACCAGGCTGTAGATAGTTCGTCGTTTATCCTCAAATTGGATGAATTACGAAATAATTCAAGGCCTTGAGCTCCGACAGCTGTCCATCTCCAATTGACAGACGTGGGTGCCCGTGCTCCAATTCTCAATGGACGACGACCCTGCCGAGCGTGTGTTCCTCAGGTTGCTCTCGCGCCGTGCCGTGACCTTCCGCCCCCTTTGGGGTGAGTGTCCCTGACCTCACCAAAACTTTTTTCTCCTGAGAAGACAGCAAAGATCCATTTCTTCTCTCATCAGCGACTTTCATCAACCTCTGTGTATCAACAAAACTTCATCTCACTTCTTTAACTCTGTACCTGTACCAACACTTAGACTGTGTAATCCTGCTCTTTGAGGTGTGTAAAACGAGTTCCTTTCGTCATACTCCTTCCTGTTCCCTCTGCATCCAGCACAAGCTTCCCTCTCCCCTTACCAAGCAGCCCATCATCCACCTTACCTTACCTACCTCGCCCATTCCCACCTGAAAGTCGTCGGAGCTACCAGAGCTGGTTGTGCGGCCAATGCGGTTCTCATGCAAGCCAATTGGGTTGTCAGAAGGGACGGCAAAGCTTTGCCATCCAGCCTCTGCAGCTTGATATGCTGCCACATGAGCCATTGAGCCTACCTGGCATCTTAAGCATAGCTCCACGCACGAGCCCAGGCCTGGACTTGTCTTGTATGGCAACATACTGGCAACAGCGTCGAGACTCGAGAGCACCAGCCCGCGGTGACGCTGCGGCTACGGATGGTGCCATAGTTCATGCCGGGGAGACTGGACGGCTTCATTGGCCTTCGGCTGTTGCATGTTTTGATGCTCGTCGATGGCCGATGCATTGCCTTTGCTTTCCGGCTTGCACGTCACGTCACTCGACTCGTCCACCGCCGGTCCGCCGCCGTCGCCGCTGTTGTACCATCCACTCGTCCATCCAAGCTACCACCTCCCCGCTTCCAGTGGACGCAAGATTCCACGACCTTCCGAAGGGTTGTCAAGGGACAACGTGGGCCAGTGGGGGACGGTGACTTGGCCGTGGCCGACAGCCAGACAAACGACTCCATCCAGCTGTACCAGCTTGCTGTCGTTGCCCCCCTCCCCAGGGTACCTCCCTTGTCGCTCCAATGGCCAGCGGCCTCGGGATTTTGACGTGCATTCGTCTGTCCTGCCCGTACCGCACCGTGGGTTACCAATGGCTCTCCCTCCTGTTCGCTGTCCTGCTCGGAGGTATTTACCTCTCTATGAGCTGTGGGTGAGAGAGTTCATCCAGGTACCAGTGTCAAGCTGGCAGGCCGGTGGCGGTACAAGCCGTCATCCTCTGGCACACCGTCTTCAGCCCAGACATTGCCGCGGTGGGATGTTTCCCTCTTCTCGGCTTCTGATTGAGAATCGTTTTCGTCCCCAACGTTGCCGGCTGGCCGGGTAACTGGAAGGGTTGAGCTTAACTTGCGTTTGCTGTTTTGCTCTGCTTATCCGGTTTGCCTGTCGAGCTAGGCGCAAGGCGGGGTTGAATGGTTCATGAAGTCACCCCACTCAGCAGCTCTTTGACATTGACTTTTGCCTCGCTCTTTTGGTTCGACTGGAACTGGACGGCAAGTCCAAGCCAGCATCAGCACAAGCAATTGGGCTGGTGTGCTAGCTGGGCTGGACCGGACTGAACTGGTGGGCTGAGGCGAGACGGAACCGAAGCAAAGACCCAAGCAGAGCAAGCCGGGAAGAAGATCCCTTTGCCCCTCGTTTTTCCTTCCTGCCCTCTTCCCAGTTATTGCAACTTTCCATTGCGCCTGCCCCTCCCCGCCGCATCGCCTCCTTCCTTCCCTCCCACAACGCCCCAACCCCTCCTTCCCTTCCGTCACCTTGACCTTCGGCGGTACTTGCGCCTTGTACCCCCCAAGGTACCCTGGGAGGTACCAATACGCAATACGTACTTGGGTCAGGTACATTCTCAGTCCGTCAGTGACCTCAGCAACAGCTCACTTCACGTGACTTTTCACCCCTCTTTTCTCACTTTCTCGACTTCTTATTCGCCTCTTCGGCACCCGCAGTGGGGAGCTCCTGCGCTAACAATAAACCCCTCCACCCAGCTGTTGAAAAAATGAGACCAACCCTTTTGCGACCCCTCCTACCCCGCCATACCTTCGCCTGCTCCTCCGTTTCACCCTCGCCCTTTTCTCGACCTTCTGCCTTCATTCAACCTCTCCGAACTGTGATTCCTGCATCTACCAAGCCATCCGTTCGATTCTTCTCAGCATCCAAAATCATGCCTTCCCAAGTGTAAGTCTCTCCTTTACTCGGCCTTGCTCAAGAGCACCATCACCATCACGACGATGCTCTCAATGACGCAATAACTAACCCTCTGTACAGTTACTTCGACATTGAGTGGGAGGGTCCCGTCCTCGACGGCTCCGGACGTCCCACCTCTACCGTCCAGCGTAAGTTTTTTCTTCCGCTTATTCATTGAATTTCATCAAAACAATCATCACCATGGTCGTTTTCGATGTTCCCAGCATCACAATGCCTACGTCTATAGCTCTAGACAGCAAGGAAATCACCCCACCTCGACTCCAAAAGGCTTGAAACTTTATTGTTCGCCCAACTTTGGCTGTCCGAGCTGTCTTTCTACCGACTCCGCCATCTTCACCGCATCCAGAGCTTCGCTGACCAAGCTTTCCCTCGTACAGAGCAGAACGGCCGCATCGTCTTCAACCTCTTCGATGACGTTGTCCCCAAGACCGCCGCCAACTTCCGCGCTCTCTGCACCGGCGAGAAGGGCTTCGGCTACCAGGGCTCTTCCTTCCACCGCATCATCCCCGACTTCATGCTTCAGGGTGGTGACTTCACCCGTGGCAACGGCACCGGTGGCAAGTCTATCTACGGCGAGAAGTTCGCCGACGAGAACTTCCAGTTGAAGCACGACAAGCCCGGTCTGCTTTCCATGGCCAACGCCGGCCCCAACACGTAAGCTCTCCTCTCCAGCCGTCCCTTTGTCCAGACGCGGCAGCTAACCCTCCACCCAGCAACGGCTCCCAGTTCTTCGTTACCACCGTCGTCACCTCGTGGCTCAACGGCCGCCACGTCGTCTTCGGCGAGGTTGCTGACCAGAACGGCCTCAACATCGTCAAGGCTCTCGAGGCTACCGGCTCCTCCAGCGGTGCCGTCAAGTACGGCAAGCGCCCCACCATCGTCGCCTCTGGTGCGTTGTAAAGTGCTTCTCGCTCGGTTCTTTGTACGTTAGGTCCTGCTTCTGAAATGTCGCGAGAGACACCTTGACGCGAAAGGGAGGACGATTTTTGGTAGAGACTTGGGAATTGCGCCATCACGCAGCTTGGCGGCAATCAGCTTTACTGCTGCTACATAGTCTGCCAAGACAAAAAGTTACTGCCACCTTTATGCTGCCGCTACGTGACATTTTGCCTTTGACTCACTTTACCCCTAATGACCTAGTCGACCGAGTACCGAGGCATCTTGTGACAAATTTACCGTTCATAACCAATGTACATACAAGGCGTAGAATCACTTGAATGCATTCAACACAACGAACGCGGTGGGGTCAAACATGTCATTGGTATAATTACAGCCAATGGCTGGTCGCCATTGAAGCTAAATTCCCTAAGGGAGGATGGAAACTCTACCCTTCAGGCCCTGGCAAACCGTCCCGCCCATGTCCTTCTTTTTGATAATTCGTGCCAACGCCAATGCAATGCTTTCCATGATGTAAATGAATCAAACAGACCCAACCCAAAACAAAGAAGACCTCCTTTTGCTACTCCCTAGAACAGAAGAACCCCCCTCTCATTCCAGACCCAGCCATCGCTGAAAGTAAACGCAATTGCTCGCGCTCACGGGACCGCCCTCCTCGCAGAGCTCAAAAACGGGACACCGCCCGCAAGGAGCCTCCGTGTACCCATTGACAAACGGCTCCGGCCCGCCCTCGTCGTCCTGGCGGCCCGCCCAGGCCGTGTTGCTCTGTCGCGGGGCGCGGCAGACTCTGTAGCCGACGCGGCCCGAGACGCGGATCGACTCGATGAGGCCGTCGAAAACAAGCACGTCAATGAGCTTCTGCATGTCTTCCTCGCCGAGGATCGTGTCGCTCGTAATGCCCGACTGGGAGATGAAGCGCGCGATCTCGCGCACGGTGGGGTATTCTTTGAAACCCGCGGGGAGGGGCAGGCAGGTTGGTTCTCGCTTGGGAGGTTGGACGACCGGAGCGGGTTTGGTGTCTGCTTCGCTGGCGCCCGAGATTTCTCCCGCGCTGCGCTTCTTGCCCTTGGTATCCGGGAGACCGCCCTTGAGGACGCCCTTTTTGGGCACAGCGGTGCGGGTGGCGGCTGACGAAGAGGAGGAAGAGCCGGTGCTGTGGTAGGTGCTCTTGCGCTTGACGTAGTCAAAGATGACGCGCTGGATTTCCTCGATGAAGGCCTCGTCGAACGTCGAGTCGGTGAACCAGGGCCCGCCGGTGGCGCGTTCCGAGGGCCGCATGGAGGCCTTGATGAACATGCGCTTGTTGGGGTGCTCGACGTTCTTGAAGGGGGCGATGAGGCCCTTTCCTTGCAGCTGTTTGAGGGCCGTCTTGAGGACCGAGTCGTGCATGTTGAGGCGGTTCTGGATTGATTTGGACCAGATTCCGTCGCCGCCTGCTTCGTCGATTGCGCCGTAGACCATGCGCTGTTCGTCTGTCGTGCAGAGCTTGTATCTGCAGGGGAGGTTAGTTAGCATGGCTGGCGAGCTGATGCTGTCCAAGCATGGAGAGTGAGACTTACTTTTCTGCATCTTCGACGGAGCGCCATCGCCAGGCGAGGCCGGTCTGGGAGGAGACGGCGATGAGGAGGCGGTCGTTTGTGAGGCTCTGGAGGCACTTCAAGAGGGTAACGGTGTCGCGATTCGGGATCACGTCAAAGTCGAGGAGATCGTATTGGGTGAAGAGCTCGTTCTCGTCGCCGGCCTTTTGGAATTTCTCGTACAGCATGTCCTTCCACACCTCTAGCTTAGAGTCGGTGCTCGAGGTGGTTGCCGCCGAGGGCGAGTCCGCCGCTGGGGGTGCGGGAGCCATTGCGCCTGTCTACGACGGCGGCGGCGGCCTATCTCGCTTTGGTCTTGTGATTATTTGTAGGAGGGTGCGGTCGCGCAACGTGAATTGAAAGGTTCAGGGAGTCGGTTCGAGCCCAGCTGTGTCGTAGATGTGGCGGGGACTTGTTGGTGATGTGTGATCGATCGGTGGTGGTGGGGGAGTTTGTGCCTGGGGGATTTTTTTAAGTCATCTGGGGTCGTAGTCGAGTTTCGCGCGATCGAGGGGTCGTCGCTTTGCGCCGGCAAAAGAGTACAGAGTGCCGGACTATTGAATCGAACCTTGGTTGCAAAGTAAAGCTCAAGGTCCGAGGTCGTCAATTGAATCGCATCAGCAAGTGTCGTGCCGGGAGTGTCGATAGGAAAGGGCAGATTCGTCGGGTCGGAGCAGACGCCCAGAGAGGCGCTTCGCCCACGGTGAGGTGGGTGCGGTTGACTTGGGTCGGCGACGATGGTGGGATTGGTTTTTGGAGCTGCATCAGAGGTCGATCAGCACTGCGGGCGGCCCAGGCAAGGAAAAAAAAAAGTAACTGCCCCGCCTCTCAGAGTGAAAGTGACCTGCGCACCTGGCGGCACATCAAATCAGCCTTGCATTGGTGCCGGATGAACTGCGGGTGGGCTGCAATTGCGCTGGGATGGCCTGCTGAGGAACGGTACGTACCGCTAGTGATGGTGGAGCATCGTCGACGTGTTGTTGAACAAGAGTCTCTTTCTTGGTCAAGCTTGATGTATCTTGTTGAAGGAAGAACAATTTGATTGTACTTCAACTCGAACTCCTTCGTCTTTCCGATGAATCACAGGGGAGTACTGAGGTCTTGACCAAAATTTATATGATCCCATCGCGCCTTGTTCTACTTGGGTAGTTCTCCGAGTGAGTCACTGCTAAGAATCCTCGAGGTTGAGACGACAAGTCAGCCTGTGCCTCGGATGATCCTGTGGCACAGCAAGCCCGGAAGTCAAAGTCACTATGCCGAGACATTCTTTAATTCTTAATTTCATCAGATGGTGGCTGTGAGGTTAACGGATTGCAATCCCATGTAATGGGAGCTGCGTTCTCACTGCAAATTCATCGTAAACTCGAAGAG